ATAGATAGATAGATAGATAGATAGATAGATAGATAGATAGATAGATATTGCTAGATATGGGTGGATGGATGGATAGATGAGTAGGTGGGTGGGTGATAGGTAGGAAGGTAGGTAGGTAGATGGGTGGAAGGACGGACGGACGCAAAGACAGATAGACAAGATAGATAAGAGCACACTGGTAGAGGAGACTGGAGAACCATTCTATTACCCATCCTTCAAATGACAAGGGTCCACCCAGTGGGGGCTAGTTTTACAGGCATTAAAGCAGTGTAACTACCAGAATCAGCTTTTCCAAGACATTCTTGCAGGTCTGCTTCCTGTCACTGAGGACATCTTTCTGCTTCATCAGGACACGGTAGCGGCTGAAGAATTCTTGATAGGTCCACCTGGTTTCAAGAGGCAAGGTGGCAAGGTTAGCCGGTCAGAAAAGACCTTCGAAATGCAATCTGTATCCCCACCTCTCGTGCATGATGACACACTCACCTCGAAGGGAAACCAGCTGCGCTGATCCGGATGGTCTCTAGCACTCCGCAAGCTCTCAGCTGCTGTACGGTCCGCTTTTCGTCGAACCTACATGTGAAGACACAGCACCGAGTCATTCGTGACACGAGTGTGATCACAGAACGGAAGTTTTTATTGTGAGGGCACAATATACGTTCAGAGGGCAAATACGACAGCGTCATGGACTTACATAAATGGAAACTTGAAGTCATTTGGTTTAATGCACCGCACGTAGTGTGGCGTGGTGGCATTGAGGGTCTCCATCAAGAGATGCAGAGAATTTCTGAACTATAGGAAAGATCAAAAAAAAAAAGGGGAGGAATTGTACATTTTTTTTCCTTTCTTTTGACTGAAACTTCTCCACGCAGCAATTTCTGCAGCAACAACTAACATAAATGACAAGTCATTTGCTATGCAATTATTTTTAAAGCCAGCCTGCATCTGTATTCATCACTGAAATAAATCCAGATCAGACTTATGCCATGGTCCAAAAAGTACAGGTAATCCTCGCTTAGTGATTGTTCAAAGTTATGACGGATATCCCCAGAGCTATGTATGGCCCCTTTTGGAAGTCTTGATGGCCGCGTGGTTCCCCCACATGGTCGCATGATTGAATTTTGGGTGCCAGACAACCATCTCCTTGCAGCATCCCATGGTCACATGACTATGCATTTCAGTATTTCGGGGTGGGAGTGTTTTTAATAACGTTTCCTTCCAATTTCTGGCAAAAAAACCCATGCTCATAATGACCGCCACACTTGCTTAACAATTATGGTGCTCCCTTAACAATTCAGCAGTAAAATTTCACTATTTCTCCACAAAAGGTTACAGTAAATGTTTCTTTTCCCATCCTCCATCATCACAAGGGACAGCCTTGAGGCTGCACAATCCACAAACAGCCCAGAACAGAGAAATGCAATATGTTCCCTTTACCTGATGCCCCACGGTTTTCTTGTGTTCCTTGCTTGCTTGGGCCATTTTTGACTTAGCTGGTTTCACGGCTGCTCGAGACAATGGGGTACGACCGGACGGTGTGGCTGAGGTGGGACTGATGGCCTTCTCCACTCGAAACAGCTCAGGCAGCATCTTAAACTGATTCAGACACAAGGGTTTTTAAAAAGGGCATCTCTGAATTAGGAAAGAGAAGGTTTTCCCCTGAGGTAACACAATAAAAAGGGGAACCAACGCCAAAAGAGATTATCATTTGTGAGTTGGCTTTGTTACTTTCAAGGTGCTTGTAAAAATATGACAGCTTTGCTGCCAGGATTCTGGCAGATACCCCAATTAAATCATGAGTCTCGAGCCAAACTTCCAAAACTTCAAAAGGATTTATTGGGAGTTAACATATCTGGCACTGCCTGGGTGTAGTCAACTCTGAGACACACAATTAATTGTCACCCTTGACCCTAGTTTTCCCCAGGTGGATCATAATTCATATTCTCCAATGAGACACATCCGTAGCCAAGAGTCATCAATTAGGTTCTCTAGTTAGAATTTTGCTGGCAGAGAAACTACAGTCATCTAGTTACTATCTTTGAAAAACTATTTATGGAATGCACTTTCAATTTCCAAGCTGCCGCACTGCTCTTTCAAACCCCTTTCCCCCTTCCTTTTCTGTTGGCAACTCTAAAAAAGACCATAGAAATATTTTATGAGTTAACATTTTGCTTTATAAAGCATGTTAATTTAAATGAGCAAAAGAATGTAAGAATTTCTAGATTAGAGCAATGGCACAGTTGGCCCAGGAGTCTGTGTCACACCGAGGCCAACCCGAAGCATCCGTAAAGCTTATTGACAAGGAGAATATGGTGATGCAAGACCTTCTCCACTCAGAGCAGTTATCTATACTGCTTAACTCACTCCAAGCGTGCTGCAGATGCGACATTCCTAATCTCTTAGGCTTGCGTCAGACCAAAAGTTGATTTCAAATCATGCAGACGCAAACAGTTCAAGACAGTCCTTTCCACCAAGTAAATGTTGCGGGGAAACCGTCCATACGTTGCTCAATCTAACAGTTGTGAAGTTTGATACCTAGTACTTCTCGCTCCTGTTTCTTTTGCCTTGTGAATTTTGAGTAGAACTGGCACCTTCGCTGAAATACAGGACAATCTTTCTTCCATTAAAGAAGAGATTATGGGAAAAGCGCTTAGAAGTCTGTAAGCTTCCAAGAAAGTAACCCAAATCAGACAAAAAGGAGGAAAGTAATCTTCCTTTCTGATTTTTAATTATGGACTTAAGTTTCCTATAATATGATCAGGAAGGAGTAGACAGTCCCATCGCATCTATTCATTTCTATAACTGGTTAGAATCCTATCCTGCTCTTCTCTAGGAGCTGACATCAGAAATGATGATGAAAATTCAGTCTTTATAGGATTGGGATGGTTAAGTGAAGTGGGAGGGAGGATCATTTCAACACTAACCTTACTTGATTTGAGAACATTGATCTGTTCTTCATAGACAGTGTCTTTGTTTTTTTCCAAAAATCCTTCGCACTGGTACTCCACCTGGAAATGCAAATATCCAGTTTTACCAAACAATGGTTGTTGTAGCAATAGTATGGAATCAGTGGCCCAGAAAGTCTTCTGCTTTTTGAGATTTCGAATTTCAGATTTAAATTTATAAGCTTTGCCAATGTTTCCGACTAGTAAAGGAAGCCATCATACTCAACGCAAAACATACTTGTTTTGTGGAATTGCTTGCCAAATATTTCTGTCTAAAGAACTCCTCCCAAATAACAACTGCAAAAAGAGGTCTTAATAGACCAAGACAAATACAAGAAAAAAAAAGTAATATCCACACCAGCCGGGAAACAAAATCCCTTACCTTATCTGCAAAGTGTTGAATGATAAAAGCTTTGTTGGACAATCGAGGTTTCTCAAAAAGTGCACTCTTATTCAAGTGAGTATTGTATAATTTCTGGGCCCAACTGTTGTCTGAACCTTTAGGCATCTAGAGAAGGGAGAGATGGGGAGATCACATTTCTGGTGGGAACACAGCCGTGGGGGAAAAGAGTAATCACAGAAAAGTTATAAATGGTACCCCTGAGAAAGGAAGAGATAATTTCCTTTTTTCCTGTGCAGGAATTTCGTAACATTTTTTTAACCGGCTTTTAATGTGGCCCACAGGGGAGCTGCACATCCCTTGCTATCCCAAGGAGTTTATTAAAAGAGACACATGAAATGACCCTTTGCAAAACTTAGCCACCTCATTCAAATAATGGGACTGGAAGCTTATGGAAGCTGTGGATTGGCAGGAGCCCTGCAACTTACAGAACATACCAACAGGCAAATTGTGCCGAACAAGATGAAAAAAGTGTCTCACTAAACCGGTGAGGGTATAAATTGGTATTTAACTCTTTCTGCTTTGTTCTGAGGAAATTATTCTATAGGGAAATTTGGGCTACCTACCTTGCATTCCTCATCCAGCAAATCCAGAATTCCCATTTTGGCCTCGATGAGGTTAATGCAGGGTTGATTGTCGTAGAAATCAATCAAGGTCCAAGGAATTTGTTCCCTCATGTATTCTTCTTGTTCCAACTTAAAAACGTGCTGTGTGAGAGGGCGGAATACGGATCCTCAGGGCAAGATTACAGTGACTGACTTTGCATTTTGTGTTTTTTCCTGGGGCTTTAACGGTGATACAGAAATGGAAACAGACAGCCTGTTTTGCCAGATGCAACAGATTAACGTAGCTATCCCTCTAGAAAATGATAAAGACCTTCTTCTGAACCACTAATCCAGAAAATCTGATTATCAAGTGGATAATTAAGCGGTGGGTAGAGAGCAATATGCCCCCCCAAAACCCCAAGTTTCTTACTTACCATATTGAACTGCTGCTGTAATTTCTCATTGGCGTAATTTATACAGAACTGTTCAAAGCTGTTGATCTCAAATGTTTCAAACCTGAAAAACAAAATCAACTTTTAGCATTTCTCAAAAGCATGGCTGATGTGTAAAAGCTTCAGCTGAATTATTTCAGCTATATTAAAATGGAAAGGAATGGCAAGACCAAAACAAACAAACAGAAAAATATTTGCCCAATGTCTACATTCCTTCCAGAAAAAAACAAAAAACAAAGAGTCCTTCTCGATGTAAGCTATTTGGTTTTGTCTATTATATAATCTGATTGCACGAAACTTCAAGATACTGTTTTAGACAAATCTATCAATGAAGGAAAATAATTGCAGCTCAAGGTTGAATCTATCATTTTTTTACTATTCTACTTGAAATAATTGAGATGTTACCAAAAAAATACCGAGACAGAAAGCACTCACCCGTAGATGTCCAATACGCCAATAAAAGAATGCTGTTTCACAGTGGACTGCAAAGCTTTGTTCACATGATCTACAATCCAGGTAAAAAGGTTAGCGTAGATATGCTTCGCAAGAGCGTCCCTAGCATTGATAGCCTGCAGCTTGGAAATCGGCTTGATGTAGGTCTCTGTGGCAGTAGCAAGCTTTCTGTGGCAAAGCCAGTGCGCCATCTGCTCGTATTCCACTCCCATGAGATCGCAGAAGATCCTGAGGGGTTCGTGTTTAGGCTACAATGACAGTAGGAGTTGACAGTCACATGTATTCCTATCTAGTCATCTAAAAATTTTCAAGCAGCCAAAATCCTCCCTACCATCAATCTTCTTCTTTTAATGACTCCATAATCCCTTGCGGGGGGGGGGGGGGTTGTCAGGGCAACTGAATGGAGCTGACCGTTTACTGACCAGATGCCCTTCCCGTTGCCAATGTGGAGTTTTGTTCGGCAGATATATTCTCAGTTGTGCCCAAAGACAGAAATATATCTGCCTCTACCTAGGATCAAACTCACAGCCTCCTGATTGTGAGGTGAGAGCTCCACCACCACACCACTCAAAATCCTCCCTGCTATGCCTTAGATTTAAGGAGAAAGTTCTTTCCATTTGGAAAGATGGACTCTGAAGAAAAATGAGAAAGATTCTAAAAAGAAAAATAATAATAATAATAGAAGAAGAGATGGGGGAAACGTAGCTTATCTCCATGTTGGCAAGACAACTGCAACACAAATACACAAGGAAGAGTAGAGAGGTTAGACACGTTAATGGGACTGAAAATATTTAAGTATTTTGGAACTCACGGGTATCGTGCAGCTGTCAGCATCTCGAGATGTGAAGGACACATTGCCCAAGTGAAGAATAGCAGCAAGGATTTGGAAAATTCCCATCTGGCAGGAATCAACAATTCCTGTTGTATTGGGGAGGGGAAAATTTAAAAAAAGTTACTTTGTATAACAACAACCTATTAGGTACCTAAACAAGACCAATACAAGGTATAACTGACAATAAGGTAACAATTCATCACTGAGTGAGGGGAGTCACCCTTTTATTTTTATTTTTTACCAAAAAGGCAAGAACTTACAGCCACATCCAGTATTCAGACTGTAGACTCCCACTTGCAAGAGATGGAAATATGTTCTTTGTGGGTCATCATAAACTATCAATGCTTCTATATCCCTACATAAACCCCCCCTTAATATTTGCCTTCTTACAAATGGGTTTTTATGCGAATGTAATCACATTTTTGAATAAAGTAGGTGGCTACAGCATTTTTACAATTCAAAGCAACGCATCAATATTGTCATAAGTGTACACTTTTATTCTCGAGCAAGGCATATGCGTTTGCTGAAAGAATTTGGTGAGTTTTGCACCAAGCAATAAATGCAACAGCCTTACAGTGCTTCAAATCTTATTTTTCTCAGAAAGTCACCTGCTCTTCGTATCCCTGCACAGAAAGCTGTTTGTCACTGAAACAGACATCTGCTGTTCCTCCATTCCTCTTTGGTGCAAATAGTAGTTAGCAACTCTCCAGAACAATTTGTATTTTGCAAACTATTATGCTCAGTAAGTGGAACCTTCTCTTAAGCAGCTATTCATCCTTGTAGGGTTTTTTGTTCTTTTTGCAAATAATAATATGCAACAACAGTTATCCTAAGGGAAGCCTTTGAAGAGTCATGTACTTACCCAAAAGAGCGCAGGCCCGTCGAGTGTTAAGCATTTCCTTAGCGTCATCAATTCCGTCAATAACTGGGCTCCCCCCTTGCTTTGTATAGTGAAAATAGCCTGCATTCCCTATTTGAACAAAAACAAGATTGACATGAACTTGAATATTAGTAGCTTGAGTTGGTCGTTGTTCTGTTGGTTTGAGTTCCAAGCTTGGCAATTGGGTTGCAAACGTTTCATCGCCTTTCGAGGAGACAACGTCAGTGTGCTGTGAATTGTGCTCGTCTGATGATGCCTCCTTGAATGGTGACGAAAAGCGCACTGACAAGGTCTCCTTGAATGGTGATGAAATGTTTGCAACCCAATTGCCAAGCTGGGGAACTCAAACCAACAGGCCAAAAACAAGATTATTTTTTTATAACAAAATGCACTTCAAAATGCTGTTATGACTTTCATGCAACAGTCAAATAACTGCAGCCAAACAAATTGACTATTAGTTCATTATTAAGAATTTATGTCCCTTGCTTCGTAGGCTGAAATTACTAAAAAAAAAAAAAAAACTCTCTTGGAATGAAATCCAGTTTATATTCAAACTTCAAAATCAGAGATTCGATGCAGTCAGAGGGATCAAGCAAATAACGATTTCTCTTAAATTATTACTGACATTGGTAAAATGTTTGGAACATGCATAGTACTAGATGCACATGGAAGATAGATGAGCATTAATAGATAATAAAAGTACTTTATTACAAGTAAATGACAAAACGTGGTAAAACAGTTACCGTTACATACCCAATCTTAAAGCTTTAAATTCAGGCAATGCCGCAGAAGCACATAGCTGATAGAAGATATGGTAATTTCTCTCTTCTTCCGCCTTTAATACAAACAGATTATATTTGACATGAACTAGCATGTCAATGCTGACTCTTAGCAACCAACAGACAGCTGTCTCCAGGAACAAATAAACTATACACAAATACATACTCAGAAATAATATATATAGTAGATGAATTTCCTGTATGACGCATACTATCCTGAGAAAGTTTTGACTAACAAACCCATAATTTGTTCCCTGCTGAAAACTTCCACTAGTTCTCGAGGCTTCCTCCAGAACAATAGATGTATAGATACTTTCTTCCTTAAATTAATCATTTCCACTCTAGACTGCAGTGAGGAAAACCAACAACATCCCACTCCAGATATAACCAGTCATGCACAGTTTTCTCCCCCAAATCCTCATTATGCAGCTTCAAAATAAGGCAGAATCCACTTTACCTGGAACACCACTCTCGATTTTTCTAGGAGGTAAGTTCTCATGTTAGCACCTGTGATTCGATACCGCTTATCGAAACCAATTTCAATGTACTTCCCAAAGCGACTGCTATTGTCATTTCTCGTGGTTTTAGCATTGCCAATAGACTGTGGAGAAGGAAAAAGGACAGGGTTAGAAATCTTTAAAAAAAAAAAAACCCAGTCCAATTATAAATGGCACCTTAAGAAATGCTTCTTTCTCACACACATGGGAGAGGATGCCTCTTGTAAGATTAGGGTTTTCTGAGAACACATGTGCATATCCAAAAAGAAAGACAGACTACATCATGCTTGAGAATTAATGTTTTAACAATTGCCAATTTTTAATCATATTAAAAAGCGAGGCCTCTACCCCTAATTTAATCTATACCATGTCTCTGGTTAACATACTCAGATGCATAGTGCTGTGGTTTGCCAGCATCCGGTGCAGACAGCAGCGGAATCGGACAGTGGGGAAGAACAGGGACCAGTCAGGGAGTCTTGAGAGGACTTGGACGAGGGTCCTGCATCCGATGCAGAGATGGCGCCAGGACCATCTGGGAGTGGGGTGCTGCCTCCAGAGTCTGGCAGCAGCAAGGCAGAAGAACAAGGGGAGCCTGTTTCCAGTGTGCGTATGCACAGAGCTGCTAGAAGGCGAGAGCAGCTGAGACAAAAGGGGCGACTCGTGAGTAAGGTTGCGAGGTGATTGCCCCTCCCATAAGGGATAAAGGACAGGCAAAGGTCGAGAAACCTTTGCAGGAAGTAAAGTCGTTGTTTCAGTTTAGATTCATTCTTGAAGCTCTTTGTACTTTGGCTGGTTTATTTTCTAGTTCATTTGATACTTCTGTTTTTGGCAGCACTTCACAGAACTGAAAGGTGTGTGCTTATCTTGGGGGACTGTTTGAGATGAATTCCGGCTGGGAATGAAAAGAATTCCCAGCGTTCTAATAAAATAGGTTTTGCTTTTAAAATAAATGTGTGCGCAATTACGGTTTAGGAAGCCTGGGTCAGAACACATACAATATTACTAGGCACAAGCAGATCTATTTTGTGTAGGCAGAGAATTGTTTTACTAATTGTTTTACTGTGTACAAGATAAGTATACACTACCCCAACAGACTTTCTTTCAGAAAATGCATCCATATATTTTTGTTAACAATAACTGCATGTTAGTGACAGTGCAGCCTACACCCACAAACATGGACTATTTCATTCTAAGATTGAATCAGAGGTTTTGTTGGAAGCTGAGGGTGGAGGATAACAATGATTGCATTTGTACATCACCAGGGATGTAGTGAAGGGATTTGCACAGGCTCAAAAAAAAAAAAACCATGAATGCGTATTTTAAATTATGATGGCTCAGGATTTCTGAGAGTTGAAGTCCACAGGTTTTAAAGTTGCCATAGTTGTTCACCCTATCAGGTCAGGAATCTTTATACACCTAGAAGGAAAAGTGAAAATGCACACGTGGCATGCCTGTTGGTTAGTATACATTTTTACTAATAATTGCTCAGTGAAGTTGCTTGCAAATTCCACACCGCACAGCAAACCAGGCAGAATTACCTGAGCTCTGAATACATCAAAAACACCTCTGACAAAGTTGCATTAGGGTCACCTCCACTTTGGGTTTTGAGTTTCAAGAAATGCTTAAAACAAGGAAAAAAAACAGATTTTAAAATATTCAAGAAAAAGGGGGGGGGGGCGTTGGATTTAGCAGGAGGTCTGCTGAATATTCTGCATCTGGTCTATATTTCAGCAGGGCGAATATATATATATATTTAACCTTCCCTCCCCATCCAGTTCTCTTTTGCCTTATATTTCGAGGACTCCAACATTTTCCTGTTTTCCTTCAAAAACTGTTAGCCCTTACAATTTTAAATCAGTTATCTGATATTTATTTATTTATTTAGCAAATACATGGGCTTATAGTGGGTCAAATGTTAATATCCAGTCCACCCAGCCATTCAAGGACAGGTGGTCTATGTTGAAAAAAAAATCAGGTATTGGGCCGGTGTGAGCTCTTGGTGGATATTCGGACACAATGTGATGGATATTTTGTCTGACATACAATAGCAAGAGCACTTAAGACTTATATATTACAGCCCTCTTTAAGCAGTTTACGGAGTGAGAATATTTTCCCCAATAATCTGGGCCTCATTTTACCCACCTCAGAAGAATGGAAGGCTGAGTCAACCGTGAGCCTGGTGGGATTTGAACTGCCAAATTGCAGGCAGCCGGTAGGCAGCAGAAGTAGCCTGCAGTACCGCACTCTAACCACTGCGCCACTGAGGCTCCTAGTCCAAACTCCATCATCCAGTATGGTTGAAGCAGTAAAGGGGAAACAAGTCGCCCGGTGGCAAAATTGCTCTCCAATTTATTTATTTTTTATAAAACCACATTCTGGTCTTACCTCCATTATAGGATTAGAAGCTAACACTTTCTCTTCAACGTTGGCTTCACTTGCAGACCCGCTCACTGTGGCAAAGTATCTCATGGCATACTTGGCAGACACGGTTTTCCCAGCTCCTGATTCCCCGCTTACAATGATGGACTGGTTCCGTTCATCTCTGAAACGGAAGCAAAAGTCATGGGACAGAATAACAGAGCTGGTCTGCCAGTCCAGGGGTCGCCAACCTTTTGGACCTCAGGGACCCACCAAACTAATAATTTTAAATCCCACGGACCAGAGACCCTGGGAAAATCTCAAAAAAAAAAGTCTGCAGGAAAATCTCCCACCCTGTTTTCCTATGGATCGATCATTATTTGGGATCGCAGGATACCGTCTCCAGCTCCATTCTCAGGGGGAGAGAGAGAGAGAGACTTTTGGCTTCATGCAAGGAAAGCAGCAGAAGCAGCAGAAGTCTTTCTTTCTCTCCCCCACATTCCATCAGGAACGAGTCTTTGTGAGACTTGTTGCGCCGGCGCAGCTTCTTGGAGCAAGAGGGTCCCAAAGACTAATTTCTGGCGGAGTTTGGGGGAGAGAAAGAAAGACTTTTGCTGCTTTCCTTACGTGCAGCCAAAAGCAGAAGAAGAAAGGAACGGAAAGAAGCAGCCCGGTGGCCAGGCCAGGCGTGTAGGCCAAGTTCCCCCCCCTCCACCCTTTCCCTCTCCCCTCACTACCTTGTGTTGTTCGCAATGCAAGTGACACAAGCCTTGTGTTCCCACGGGCCATGTGGGCAGTGCAGCCTTGTGTTCCCACACAGCCTGGATGAATTGCTTTGGGGGGCAGGACATTTCTCTGAAGACCCCCAAAATTTTCTCACAGACCACCAGTGGTCCCCGGCCCACTGCTTAGCGACCACTGTTCTAGTCCAATCCCCTATTCAAGCAGGAAGCCCTATAACTTATAAACCCGTAATTTAAATTGTATATGAATGCAGGTAGTCCTTGACTTATGACAACTGAGACCCACATTTCTGTTGCTAAGTGAGACGTTTGCTAAGTGGGTTTCGCCCGATTTTTACGACCTTTCTTGCCACGGTTGCTTAGTGAATTATTGCAGTAGTTCAGTTAGTACCACAGCTGTTAAAAAGGGCTTCCCTGTGGACTTTGCTTGTCGGAAAGTCACGAAAGGGGATCCCATGACCCCCATCCTAAATATGAGCCAGTGGCCAAGCATCTGATCCCGTGACCACGGGGATTCGGCAATGGTTGTAAGTGTGAAAAACGGCCATGAGTCGCTTTTTTCAGTGCCCTTGTAACGGTCACTGAATAAATGTCGAAGGTTACCTGCATATGGCTCTTGTTCTGACCCGGCCTTAGCAGGTAATTACTCACCAGAAAAAACAAACCCCTTTTCAAACAAGTTAGGGACAGTCTTTATTCATGCGGATAAACAAAAGAACCCAAACCTAATTAGTCCCAAAAGACCTGGTTCTGACCCAGAAATCCGAATTGCTTGCTGTATCCTAAAAACGAACTGTTGCCTGCGACCACCAGCCCCTGCCAAACCCTTATTTGTTTCCCAGGGAGGGGCTCCTCCTGCTTTTCCTTGAGAGCCGGCTTATTGTTTTCCTTTGCTCTCCTCTCCTTTCCTCTCTGCCCGTACATGCATCTGGGACGGGCCCCATCTGTTCTTCCTCCTCACTCAGCTCAGGCCCCGAAGAGAGCTGCCTCTCCACCTGGGGGAGGATGGAAGGCCCCGGATCTGCCTCTGTCTCTTTCCTTATCCAAGCCTTCCAAAAGCTCCGAAGCCAGCCCAGCCTCTCCCTCCACCTCTGACTCTGCAACTAGCTCGGCTGGCAGATGACGGGCCAACAACACCTACATTTATCATGACAACAACCCCCCTTCGTACCACAAAGCTGCTAGTCGGTGAAAAGCGAACACCCCCATCCCACAAACCTGGCCATCTGTTTGTATGCCTCCTCAGCCACAGCAAAGATGTGGGGGTCCATGTCCCCCATATTTTGGCCACTGTAGGCATTGATGATGTCTTCGCCATAGATAGGCAGCTGCTCGTAAGGATTTATGGCGACTAAAACTATACCTAAAAACGAAAGAATAACGAAGTCAGGGAAAAGGGGTGGAATTAATTCAAGGAAAGATTTCACCCCTGTTGAATTTGCAGCCACCACAATAAGTATTTCCCCTTTCACTTTGTCAGTGCATTGGCTAAATAATGTAGCTATGATGACCCAGGGCATGGCATAAAGACTACACAGAGATAATCAGATCCCTTTTATTATCTCCAACTTTGCCCCCAGTGTCCAGATTACCTTCTGGCTGGAGAAAAACTCTCCCAGGAACAGCCTTTGACTACAGAGAATTAAGTCCAAAACAGGGTAAACACAAACTGTAACTTAAAGTCCAAACAAGCCAAACTGAAGTAATTAGTTTGGCAGCACAGGAGCAGAAATTTCAGACTTGAAAGCACGGCAAAACTCACACAGTTGGGAAGACGCCAGGGACACAGATAAGCCATGACAACACAAGATAAAGTCACGTTGCTTCCAGCAGCCTGCTGCACGCAGCCTGCCTTTCTTATCAACCATCTTCCCAGCTTCAGCTAATGAAGGGAATCAGGGCTCTCTCCTCCCCCGTAAGCCACGCAACCCACGTTGCTCTCTTCTCCATTCCTCCCTGCGTGCCCTAGGATGAAGAGGCGGTGGGCCTGGTTCTTCCTCTGAACTCCCTCTCCCTTGTTCTACCTCTCCCCTGCTCTGCCCAGCCAGATTTTGCCCTTCCCCAGCCTCCTCCACAGCCAATGGAGCCATACTCCCATTCCCTGTCAGCTGTCCAACTTCTTCCTCAGATTCAGACTTTGACAGGGGCATGACAGTAGCTGATATCATACGTAATGTGAGTGGTCATCTGTAGGAGACACGGCTTCCAGTATGAGTCATGGTTGACCAGAGACATCTCCGTGAACAGGAAATCACCCACAAGTGCTCGGAATGCCAACTCCAAAAGAGTAGTTTCCCATGGATTTGACTGCCAGGAATGCCAAAATCTATACTCTCAGCACCAACAGAACCTTTGATAAGGACACTTTAGTAAGGATACTAAGCTCTAACTCACTTTCTAATAACATTTGGAAATGTTCAGTTTAACTACTTTATGGACATTAGAGCTCTTCAAAATATTGAATTTAATTAGATACCTGATGAGTTTTACTTTCTCTGGGTTAAAAAAAAAAAATTAAACGGGGATTTAAGAATTCAAAATAATATACAGTTGGCAAAAAGCAAAAAGATTAAGTTCTAAACAGATTGGAAAACCAGGGAGATTTGGGATATTGTTTATTTTTGCTGTAAGATTTGAAAAACAGGCATGTAATTAAATGACATACTAGAGAGAGATAACTAAAAAAGAAATAAACCCATATTAGGAGGCTTGGTGAAGGTTGCTAATGGACGCTAGAGGGAACTAAAGGACCAAGCAGAAAAGAATCAAAATGACTAAGCCAGCTATTGGAAATACAAAAGACAAATCAAGAATACTTGTACAGAATAGAACAGGAATAGTAATCTATAGAGAAGGAGAAAGGCATATGAAAAACTTAGTTAAATTAATAGAAAGTTTATTAAATAAACTCTGCTTAAATCTCTTCCTAATTCTCATGCATTTTTAAGATCTTCCTATTTTTTTAAAAAAAATTCCCTAATTGCACCAACTTCCAAGAAACTGATGAAAGATCTATTACTCTTGTCAGATGCACACACTGCATGCACATATCATCCCAACGACTGAAAACACAGATGTGTCATGTGACTTTGCTCAATAACCGCACAGTAGAGTTTAAAATAGCATCTCACATGTTCAGGTAAGCTTAATGCCTGTACATATGTGACAGTTATTTTGTCTATTCTACAAACTTAATTGACGCCAACCCATGACAAGATTGGAAAAACCCAATCATTGCATCATTGTGGTTTTATGCAACCAGCGAAGATATAGACATTTCATGGTTTTTAAAAAAATACTAAAACCCCTATAGTTGTGAAAGAAATATTGTAATTTTTTTCCAGAACTGCATTTTTTTTTATTACTGGCCTGGAATGTGCCATTTGCCTACACCAGGGGTCTTCAAACCTGACACCTTTAAGACTTATGGACTCCCAGAATTCCTCCTCCAATCATGTTAGCTGAGGAATTCTGGGAGTTGAAGTCCACAAGTCTTAAATTTGCCAATTCTGAAGACCCTTGGCCTACACTAATGAGAAATAGCATGAAAGAGACTTCAGAGGGTGCGTGCTTACCACAATATGTATAAATGAGTTTTGAGTCTATAAATCGAACTTTGAGATTGTGGAGAACAGCAGGTTCATGAAGATAGCTGAGTGCTGTCAGGTCATTTTCACCCACAAGTATGTCTGGATTTCGCAGGGGTGGTAGGTCCTTAGACTTAGCATCAAGTTTATATTCAATATCCTAAAAAATGACATAAAGTACATTTGAAGACTATTTTGTAGGTTTTCCACAACGTTCATTAGCAGTGTGAATTAAAAGGAAGCTTGAGATGTCCTAAAGATGCCAAGTTTTTCTATAACAAGCTTACAAACTTTTTGCTCAAGTTGGTTGTATAGCTAGTACATAAAGTACTCTTTTAATGGGATTATTTTTTACTTTATTTTAAGGAAACTTTAAGGCCAACTGGAAGACTTTAGTAGCAGGTAATGGCCAAATGGTAATGGCCAGGTAATCACCAAATAAATAGGGTTATATCATAAAACTAAAGATTTCAGAATCAAAGTATAACAAACCTTACTAAATATAACAGTAAAATAAACATTACCTTGCCATCCTCAAGTTGAAGATGCAGGACTTTATCTCCTGGTTTATAATCTTTCAAAAGTTCTGCTGACTTCCACACTAGTTCTGAATCAGGTATCCAAATTCTTGCATACTAAAAAAACAAAAACATCTGCAACAGTTATCTGGTTTTTTTAAAAAGGGATTTATATTAGGAACATAAACACATTTATCAGCTAACATTTGTAGCTCTTCTCTCAAGTCAATGTTACATATTTCTGATCATTTTCTCCCTTAATACCAAATTTGGCCTCCCCACTGGCTGGCAAAAGTCCATCTACAAGTCCTTACTTTCCAGATAAACCCCTTTAAAATAGGGGTCTTCAAACTTGACAGCTTTAAGATTTCTGAACTTCAACTCCCAGAATTCCTCGTCCAGTCAAGTTAGCTCAAAAATTCTGGGAGTTGAAGTCCACAAGTCTTAAATTTGCCAAGTTTGAAAAACCTTGCTTTAAAAGATGCCATCTTTCTCTTACCAAACTCAGAGTAGCATCTCCCCTCAAGCTCAGTTTGCAAGGAAACTGAACAAGAATGTGTTGGACTGCATAGGAGACAAGTGAAGTCTGCAACAAAATACATCCACACCCCATCCAAAAGGCGAATCACTTAAGGGCCCAGCAAACATTAGCAAGGATAAAGCCCACATAAACTCTGAGACATTTTACTCTTTCTATGGATGTTAAGCTGTGCGCCATAAAAAAAACCAAAAGCTTAATTACTATGGGCTACACAGACTTGACAAATTAGTTGACATTCAAGGCAGCCTTATTTACCTACCCAGAGGATCAATATTACATGTAATGATCCTAGGAAAATACTATGAATGTGGCAAGTCACCTTTTCTTTTTAACATATTTTGCTTTTGTCACCAAAGATAAAATACAAAACAGGAAAACTGTCTATGGAGATTCTCAAGTCATCCATGTCATGGCTGTCCCAAAGATGCTTTTTCAAGAGGCAACTGGACATTCTGGTTTCCTGAGGATACAGACAAACCTCCAAGTGGCCTCGACGACTCTCTAAAAAGGATGCAAATGACCAGCTGTCTGCAAGGAATATAAAGTCTTCCATTCCTCACCATCCAGCCAAAGCTGAAGAACCTTCTTGGATGAGAAGCGAAACATCTTTAAAGAAAAACCACTAACTCTAGTTGCCTCTTGAAAAAAGCACTTTTGGGACAACCATGAACCTGGATGATTGAGAATTTCTATATTTTCCCATTATATATTTTATGTTTAGTGACAGAAGAAAAATAAATATGTTTTTAAAAAGGATGACTTGCCACATTCATATTATGACTTGTCACAAGCACCTTTGGGACAAAACAGGGGAAAAAAATCCAAGAAACGTCCAATACTAATAACAAAATGGCATGTGGGGCATGTTGGACAATTGGTAATATTAACTGCCAATCCCATTCTCACCAATAATCTAAGGAAATGTTTCTCAACCTTGGCTACCTCAAGACATGTGGACTACAACTCCCAGAATTCCCCAGCCAGCATATGCTCGCTGGGGAATTCTGGGAGCTGAAGTCCACATGTCTTGAAGTGGCCAAGCTTGAGAAGCGTTGTTCTAATGTCACAACATCGGAATCTTGTTTATCTCTGCTGGGAAAACCACAACATCAACCAGTTGCAACAACAAGGACCAAGGGAACACATTTCCATAGAAACCAGACAACCAAAACCCACTGCGCCCACTACATGAGATATTTAAAGGAATAAGGTCTGCCATCAACAGATGCTCACTGCGTTTAAGTGTGCGATTTTGATCACCTGGGTTTCTGCACTAATATTCCAACCGTGGCAAAGATTCCTCTTAATAATTAAGCTGCAGGAGGTGGATGAGTTGTGATTATTTTCTCTTATTTCACCTGAATTTCAACCAATTCCATCCGAGAGGATCAAACTTGGTTTTATATTGTTGCCTATAGTGCACGCAGCTTGCTTGGATAGCAATGTCCTGCAAAGCAGGGGTCCCCAACCACCGGGCCGGGGACCGGTACCGGTCCGTGGAACATTTCCTACCGGGCCGCCAGTTTGCTGGGCGCCGCCCTCTTGTTTGACAAGAAAGTGCTTCTGGGTGAGCTTTTCCAGTTGGAAAGCGGTGTTTGGGTCCTGAAGGAATCCTCGCGCCTTAGTTTCATCGAAGTGGGGGGGCTTCGAATGAAACTAAGGCGCAAGGATTCTTTCAGCACCCAAGGCAAGGCGAGCCGAGCGACCGTCCTGAAGCCGTCCCGAAGCGAAGCCCATCGACAAAGGTACAAAGGAGGAGTTGAAGGTGGCGGGGAGAAGCGGGGGACGGCTGGCTGGCCAGTCGCTCGGCTCGCCTTGCCTTGTCATGCGTGCTGATGCCGGTACCGGGCCGCGGATCATTTTGTGATGCCGGTACCGGGCCGTGGCACAAAAAAGGTTGGGGACCACTGCTGCAAAGGATCCGTGAGGTTTTTGCTTCAGAATCTAAGCTTAAGAAATAGTTGTAGAAATTTTTTAAATATTGTTTTACTTTTATCCTGGTATTTTTTATATGACCAAATAGCTATCGAATAGCACAGATTTTCCCCCAGACTTTAAACTGGTCTGTGATAGAGAAGAAAACAATATTGTGTTTCCTGGGAAAAGCTACCATCCACTCCTCAAAAAAATGGAGAACTTTTCTTTTTAAAAATGGGGGGGGGGGAATCATGTTTTAAAGCAGGGGTCCCCAAACTTGGCAACTTTAAGACTTGTGGACTTCAACTCCCAGAATTCTCCAGCCAGCTATACTGGGAGTTCTGGGAGTTGAAGTTCACAAGTCTTAAGGTTGCCAAGTTTGGAGACCTCTGTTTTAAGGTAATAACAATCCATTAGAAGTTCAAGCAGTCAATTAAAAAAACTTTCATTTCTTAATTATCAGATAGGCTTGAAAAAAACTCTTTAAGTTATCTCATGGAAAGACAACTTGATATAAATAATACACAGGTGGATTCCCCCCCCCCCAAATAATTAAATGCCATCTAGTATTCTTCGCTGAACCTCCATGTGTAGAGATTACAAACCCTTGGAACAGTCAGACGATGAGGCAGCCTTTGAAGTTTTTCAACTGTAAACTCATTACATTTTGATAAAAAGAGCACTGACAGGATTCTTTCTGTTCCACAGAAACAACAAGAGCGTTAAAACAATTTTTTCTTGCATTTCGTGATCTAATCTAAAATCATATGAGCAAATCACCAGACCAAACTATGGGAGCAAAACATTCACATCATAAGACTCACTTAAGGCACCAGTGGTGGTAAAAATAGGTATTTTTAAACTCAGGATTGTCAAAAACAGGGTGTAATACGCTTCTCAAGTCTATTTTAAAAAAAACCCACTGGAAAAGTGTAAGGGCATCACTAATTTTTTTTTTTAAACATCATTTTGGGACTTAAAAAGGGAATGTTAGTAACAAATGCAACTGAATAATAAATATTTACCATTTGTACTCAATAATTTACGTACATTGTTAACATATAAAATCAGGACATATCAAGAAGTGTTATTGTTAGAAAAGCAGTTATGTATACGGGGCTACTCAATTACAAGTACCAACTACTCAAACCCAAAAGCAGCATTATAACAACATTTCATACCACATTAAGCATGAATGAATACATTGGGAACGCTTTCCCTGGGTTTCAGCCAATGTGTCCCTTTCTTCTAACAACCAGAGAAGGTTTCTTTCCAACATGAAAAAACAATAAATAAATATATATTTTTATCAAGCCTACTGGATCCTGTGCCTGTCAGCAGTATTTGAAATTTTAGCTTGGTTTCTGGTCTCCTTGTCCAAATTATATTGTTTTACACGTTCCAAATATAAATTCCACAACAAGATCAACCTCTCCATCATTTTATACAATATGTAAAGTAGTAGTAACATGTTCACAGCTATCAAATCCCTCCCTCCTATTTTCTTGACTCAATAAACTTCAGTCTTGCAAAAGCATAGCCTGCTTCCCTGAACATTTAATAGAAACTGGGCCATTTGAGGGCAAAGAACGCTAAGGAAGTAAAGAAGAGAAGTTTTGCTGTGGCAGCAATAAAATGTCAATGGGGCCAGTGAGGCATAGAGAGGTTAAGGCAAGTGTGTCTCTACCTTAGCCACTTTTAGAGGTGTGGACTACATCTCCCAGAATTCCCCAGCCAGCATTGTTGGCCTGGCATCAATCATGGCATTATGATTATCCTTTCAAGCTAGATCCTACAAACAGAGGAAGCAACTGTTCATCGCCAGAAGACAAAATGTGATCTCAGTAAGAAGCATAAGAACACGTTTCTGGCTGAAACAGAGTTGCTGTCCCTCAATTATGGCACACCCTTTGCTCAGATTACAACGTTCAGATATCTCATTTGCTAAGTTTGCAAGAACAGGAAGACAGAAGATTAGCAAATTTAGTGGAGAAAAGGAGGAAGGAAAAGCAAGTACAATACTGGCTCCTTGCAAACAGAAAACAAATGCAGGAGGAAGGGGGAAGGTTTTAACCTATCTCTCTCTGTGAGCATTGTTGAGCACGCTGTTTTACTTCAAACTGCAGTTTTAAAATGTCTTCCTCTCCTGAAGGAAATAAAGGCAGCAAACCATGTGAGATTTCTACATGACTAAAATTTGTTGGTTTTTTTTTTTAAAAAAACATGTTTTACAGCTTTGCCACCTTTACAGGAAGACGACTTACACCTAGATGATTGGCAATAGGAAAAGCAAAACAGAAGCCCCATAAGGAAGTCACATTAGACTTTAAGCTGCAACCCCTTTTAAAACCAAGAACACCCATCGTTGATATTAATTTGTTCTGGGAGCATTCCGGACTGCCTTATTCTCAATGAAAAAAACAAGACAGGTGATGTAAAAACCAATAAATCATTAGAAGGAACAGTTTTACCCTAAGATCAACATTAGAAACATAAGAAGTTGAACCAATAACTATTACATTTTCATCACATCTTCTTAGATAAATCTTTTGGAAGGTACTTTTGTCAAATAAAACTTGCTTTGTTGTCCAACTAAAGAGTTGTCCAGTTAGAACCAACATTTTCTCTGTAACTGTTAGGCAACAGGAACCTCATCAAG